TAAGCAAATCCACTGGGCTTTCAACATGAAGCCAGAAAATCGGGACTTTTTAAAAAAAACCTGGGACACGGGACAAATTGTTAGAAATCGTGACTGTCCCACCAAAATCGGGATGTCTGGTCACCTTACCTATGGGCCAACCTAATATTTGTTCCCAAACTTTTGGTTGGGCAGTCAGGCCATTTCTCCCCCTCCCAGGCTTCAGGAAAGCCTCTGTAGCCTTGGGAGGGTGAACCCCCCCCAATCACACATATACACAGTTGAGTCGGGCACACATGCATGCACGATAGTGCACACACTATTTTGGCATGCCTTTAGAAAAAGGTTAGCCATTGCTGGCCTATAGAATGGCAAAATGAAAAAAAAAGATACCTACTAGAGTTCCTGTTCAATATTGGGTTGGCAAAGTAGAGTGCACCGGAGTGACGGGTTTACACTTAAAGAATCCTGCAAAAGTGTCTATGGAGTTTCTCAGTCTATGGGACTTCCAGCAAAGGAGAATGTTTCACCTCTCCAAAGCAACCTTGTCCACTGATAAAGTTGTGATAAAATATAAAGTTCAAATAAGATAGAATTTCCTACTTGGCATCTTCCAGTTACATTGAAACATTTCCGAGAATTCTCAAGCAGGGCAATATCAACTCCACCTTCTCAGCTGATCTGAATTTGAACAAGATTTTGTTGTGGGGGAGGGTTAATACAAACCAATGAGCCATCAATGGATTCAAACCACAGAATCTAATTCTGGAACAGTTGAACTTCATTAAAATGTTGTTGTTGCATTTCACTTGAATAGTAGTTCACTCATATTTAGTGACCCTTGAACTAAACTAGCAACACTGAATAGACAATCAGTATTTTGGGGCATCATTTTTTCTGACTCTGACTCTTTTAGACCCATCTACATTTTGAGTTGGGATACTGAATGTCTTTCTCCTTTGCATTGATGAAGTGTTCCAGATGTTATTTCTGTGAATTGTGGATTTGTAAACTGTATTCTTTGTGTTCCATACTATGAGATGATTAGAATGGAAATTCTGCCTTCTCTTCTATTAGGTCTCATTCAGTTTGATGAAAGAAAAGTTACTTTAGAAATTATCTAAAATCAGGAGAAAATTAAACTCTCACAGTTGATGGTACTGTGTTCATTCAGTCAGTTGGTCACCAAGAAATGTGTGAGAATGTTTTCTCTGTCCTTGTGTAAATTTCTTTCCAGGGCATTGCAATCTTCTGTTTCATCAATTTGAAGCAAAAAAGTTTGAGGGGAAAAAAACTCCCATTGAGAATTTTCAATAATACTGCTGCTAGAGATGGATTTTGATTTTGAAATGATTTTTTTCCTTCCCAAACAGAAATTGGTTGAAGTCAACTACTCGATTTCTTTTTCCACAAATTTGACAGAAATTTTCAAAATGTCATTTGCACCTAAAAGGTGTAAGAGCTAACTCTGCCACTGCAGTTTGTAAAAATATCCATCGTTTAACTTGCACAAGAGCTATATTATTTAGTTGTACAATTCCTATTTCGACTATTACAAAAATACAAAATGATAGCACTGACAGAGACATAGTTGCACACAAAATTAGCAGTACAGACTAAATGTTATACTAAAATATTTTGATATATTTTAAAAAAAATATTCTTATCCACATATAGAGATATTATGGTCAGCTTCTAGTGGCATTCCCACCAAATAAGAACTGTGAAAAATAAGCAATTCCATCTTGTATTATCATAAAAGGTGCCAGTAGCCTTGCTAATGGACTGGAGGCTCCTAACAATGATTTCCATTATAAATAGACATTCCAAGGGCAAGTTTAGAATTAATTCAAGGTTCCTGCTAACAAATAAATGAAGACCATTTCGTCCTAACATTCAATTATTCCACTGCCCCAAGCTGCGGAAGGACTTGGAAGCCCAGTGAAACGAAATAGGTCAGGTATGTGGCTGAGACCACAGATACTATATTTACTTTTTTAAAGTCTGGGGTGCAGCTGGGCACTATACATAGCTGCTTTTGCTCAAAGGACCAGGCTGCAGCTTATGGGCTGCTTTTCCTTTCCAAAAATGTCTACGAGTTTAATTAAACTTCTGGAATAAACCAGTTGGCAGGAGACACCACCTTATCGGCGGGCTGACTGCTTGCTTTCCAAGTAAGTTATTAGCTTTATTGCAGAACTGTAGTTGGATATCAAATGGGATTAATGTCTGTAGTAATTGCTTTTTGGCCTTTTATAATTATAAGAGGAAATACATAAGTGGTTTTTTCCTCTACTCTTTCCCCCTTTTTTTCTGCTTTGCATTGCAATAAATGAATGGACTACTACATGTAAACTGTTTATAATATAAAGCAAGCAATCAGGAAATGAATATAATATGGATTTAAATGGATTTATGTCATAGTCTTGATTTTACAAGATAATATCTTATAAAAATGGGTTGATTTGCAGAAACAAAAAATAGGGTTTGTGCAGTTTTGAAAATCTCCATATGCATTGACAGATGGTGAATAAATAGTCAGAATGTGTAATATGTTACCAATTGTGCTGCTCACTGACCTCTGAGTAAGTATATTTTGAAAAGAAAAATAAATCTGTGTGGCATGTACAGTATGATGGACCTTCTGTGTGACTTTAATATGTTATCTTTTTTGTTAGGTGAAGATGGGCATTTGGGCTATTCTATTCCTTCCACTACTTGTGGTTGGATTTAGTGGAATTGTATACATTTATCGGAAAGTTACTCAGCTGATGACAAAGTCTGCTGTGCGGAGCAAAGTTGTAGTAGTCACTGATGCTCTGTCTGGTGTGGGCAAGGGTAAGAAGTGCAGCAAATATTTGTGTGTCTGTGTGTGTGTGTGTGTGTGTGTGTGTGTGTGTGTGTGTGTGAAAGAGAGAGAGAGAGAGAGAGAGAGAGAGAGAGAGGCAGATTGCAAAAATAGGAAATTCCTCCTGAAAATGTTATGAATGTTTACTTTGTTTACTTTGTGGAGACATCCAGGATTCTAAGAAGCATTCACAAAGGAAAACTTGGAAATAAAAGGAACATTAAATGCTCAGAAACCAGTATTATAGACCAGAGTCAAGTCTTCAGCCCTGTACGTCAGTAGGGAAGCCATATAGATATGTACATTTGTGCAGAAAGGGCCTTCTTAAGTGAGCATATTAAGAATTTCTCCAGATTACTCTTGTTTATCAACAAATTCCTTCCTATAGAACACAATCTGTATGTCCGTTTGCTCAATCTGAAACATTGCCTTCAAATGGTCTGTATGCATTCTGAACCTACTTTAACACCTTGGAACAAATTACATTGTCTGCATAATTACAAATGTTGCAATTGAAATAAATTAAAGAAAATAAATATAAAGCGTGTGGCATGAAGACACAAGAGGAGGAGGAGAAAGGGGGACTGAATTGTGCATTGACAGTGTATTGACAATTGATCAAGTGTGTAAGAAATTAGATCCTACATTGCTTTGTCGTTTTGTTTTGAGCCAACTTTCAGAATTCCATGTCATTAAAATTACTCACACTTTGCACAAACTGCAAACTGCAATAAAAGCTCTATTTATTTCAAGACTGGCATCCACTTTATATCTCTTACGATGCAACTATTGAACAGTCCATTAGAAAGAATAGTACTTAGATCTACACTTAGTTAGAAAAGTGTAGATCTAAAAGCCCCCACAAACACTGTCTTAGGAGAGAGAGAAAATCTATTTTTAGATAGATAGCTGTGCTGTAATGGTGAGAACCATTTACACATACAGGACCTATGAAGTGGCAGCAATATGATATAAATAGCTTATTTCTGTAATCCCTAAATTATGCACTAGTGGTGAGTTTTAAGATCTTGCACCAAGCAGTTGAGATACTAAGGGTTATCTTGAAGCAAAATTATTGGCAGACCTTGTGCTGAAAACTTTGAACCTGCAGCCCTGGTTTGGTGAATGGAGAAAAATCATAGCCACAAAAAACGTCAGAGGAATGAAAAATGAACCCTCTCGTGGAGATATGCAGGAGTTTTGCTGCTCTGTTGCCTCTCCAGAGGGTGGGGGAAGGAAACAGGAGATGTCAACTGAGAAATCATCAGGGTCATGTGCACCATTGGCAAACAAACTAGAAGTTCATCAAGTGATAGAACAAGACAATATGACATTTTCATCCCCAATAGTGAACTTTCCTGAACTCTTGTGTTTACTGGAGCTGGACCAGGATGGAGAGTGGAAGATCTAAGAAATATCTTATAAAAAGGTTGAGATCATTCCAAATTGTAGACAGCTATCCTAGGCTATTCTATCAAATTGCTTAACTCTGTTGCCAGGTTCCCCCTATATATAGTGCATCCTACAAGAAGACTGTAGTAGGTTTTTTAAGAAAGGAAGAATCTGTTTTAAATATTTTGTGCTTGTTTCCACATAAAGAATCATATTGTGGTTGACTTTGTGCAACCCACTAAATTTAAAATTGTATCGCTTAATTTTAACCCTGTGTTGTGGTGTACCCAGGAAATCAAGTTAATTCAGTAAAATTTGATTCGGTTAATGGTTTTACTCTGGGTTTTGCCCAGAAAACTGTTCATTCTTTCCAAAGCTGCCGTTTTGTCTCTTTTCCTGCTAGACAATATCTTTTTTGGTTTTCTCTTCCATGTGGCATTTCATTTTGCAGCTACTGAGCATGCTTTGTTTATCCTAGGCTTTTTCTTGTGAGGATTTCCAGGGATGGAATTCTTTCTTTCAATCACAAGGGGACAATCACTGCAACCATTATCAGTTCATTCTCCTTTGGGAATGCTTGCTACTGATATACATTACTCAAATGCATGGAAATGTTGGCTTCCCAGGGTTCCCAGCCTTGCCTTCCCAAGGTGGTGTGGAGAGACCTTTTCTATGGAACATATTTCCAGCAATTCATTTCCAAGCTGGCAATACAGGAAGATAAATCTTTTTCATCACATCCTGTGTGGAAGATGCCAAGTAAACAGAGACAGAGCAAAAATTCTGCTCTGGAATCTCTCTGCATTTCTATATTAAATGGGTAAAATTAAATAAGTCACTTGTTACTCCACCCAGCACAGACATGCAACAGGCTCCTTTCCTTGCTGTAGCAATGTGGTTTAGTTTATAGTTAACTGAGAGAAATGGATATATAACTCCTGTAGCTGCAGGCCCTTAACTAAGCAGTTTCAGGTTTGATGACTCCTGATGATTTCATGTAACTTTTTTTTCTTTTTTTGCAAACCTCTCTCACTGCAAAGGATTTCCTCACTGGAAACATCATGATTTCCTTGTGTTTTCAGAACTATAACCATGCACAAGACTTCATAGAATCCATTTATAAGCAAAGGCAGGTACAAATATGTTTTTAGGTAATGTCCAGATTATACATTTGTCTAACCACCCATAAGATCAGTAGCTGAAATATAAGCAATTGCATGGAGAGGAAAGTTTATCTGTATGCTAATGGTGAATGTGGGAAGAATATTTTTTTCTGTTGTTAAGGTGGAATGAATGAGAACAGGTATACTCTATTATAATCCCAATTAATTGAATTATCTCTTGGTTTATCTTCCAGAATGTGCACAAGTATTTCATTCAGGAGGAGCAAGGCTGATTTTGTGTGGGAAACACCTGGACAAATTAGAAGTTCTCTGTGATGCTTTAAATAGTGCAGCCGATCCTACTATAGTAAGACTCTTTATTTTATTTTTTTTGAGTAATATTTTTATTTTTTCATTTTCATACACTCACATGTATACTATGCATAGCCAACACCATACAGTATTAAACAATAATTGCA